GGGCGAGAGGGGCGTGATTGAGGTAGTGCCCTCACGTCCTTCCTCCAATGCCGTTCATGATGTCCTCAAAACCGCCCACTCTCGAGCATGGCACTTAGATATTGAAACAAAACTCACTAGACCAATTGATCGACGGATGAGGATGTGATACAACGGTGACATGTTACTGATGTAGGGAAATAGGCTGGAAAGACGGCATTCAAAACCATGTGAAAATGTCCCCTCCGTCGACATTTGTGACAAATGTACGGCCAAAATCTTCCCAAGAACAGTATTCTTTTTCGGATTTTCTCCCAAGTAAGTAATCCCCTAGTTTTTTGTTTACGTGGTGTTGCATGGCCCTACAACTAATAGTTCATGAAGGAGACAGAATTTGATTTTTTCCTGGCGATTCCTTCAAGCGATTACTGACGGTCCAAACCTAAGAGGATGGAGGATGAGATGCTCAGCGATTGCTAGCTTTTGAGTTTACACGCATTTTTTATTCCTTCAAAGTCGTGAAGGTTGCTGGATGGGATTTACCTTAAATGGTGTGAGCCAGCCAGCTTAAACGGTGCACAAGTCAATGCTTTTTGTCCTAGGCACATCTGGTTCCAATTTACCAACACCACATTTTGACAGTCTCGTTGGCTTAGGGCAGCGTTTCTTGCTATTACGCGTCAACTTGCTAAGCAAAGGAGGATTAAGTTGGTTCTTGAGTAGGCCTTCCCTACGCAATAGGTGTTGATGGTCCGATAATGGGCGGGGTGAACAACCCCAGTGTGAGTGAAATTTTGATGTTCCGCCTCTCCCCACTGCAGTATCTCCGCCCACAAATGTATGTTGCTATCATGGAGGACCTGAATACCATAAGATAAGAGCTTATTAGAACCCAATTGATCCTCCAAACTCTTCAAAGTAAAGTGCAAGACATGATGTAGCTGGATGAGGCGAAAAATACCACTATATGGCCCTGGATTTTAAGCGTGTGCTAACCATGTAATCCTTCCCGGAATTGCTCGCCTATTGCTACCACTTTTGCTTAGAATGCTAGAAGTACACCCTTCCTCATGTTCAATCTTTAGAACCTTATAAGCTAAAAAGGGTTCACATGCGTCGATTCTGTGAATGTGGGAATGTCCAATTAATTTTTTGAAATGTGCTAATTTTTCAAGCATCCAAATATAGTAATTAGACCAAGGTGTTCGGGAAGACCCATCCACAAGCAAAGTCCCCCGAAGGTGGCCGCCCTCGCGCTTATTAAGGGTCTAATAGAAGCGAAGAAGCTATTAAAGTTATCTAATCTTGAGGCTTCAACTGACTATTCGTCCAATAGCACTGTCTCCCAATTTCAGAGCCTGCATGACTGGGTCACTCATCGATTTACTTAATTGATCGCTAGGTTGTTGCTATCAGACAAATGTGTGGCGCAAGTATGTATACGAGCTCTGAATGAAGCTATGAATCTGAATGAGATTCAACTGCATTGCGCATACTGAAGAAGTAGTTCCTGGACCTTGCTTCGCGTTTGCTGGGGAATTTATTAGAAAGTACGAACAGATAATCTTCACTTACCAACGATGACTAACTGTCATAGTCATGTTATGGGAGGGATATGCGCAATACTGATATGTTTGTTTTATGAGTAAGAGCAAAGGTGATATAGTGTTTTTACCCCTTTTACCAGGCCTGCAAAGCGGGGATCAAATGGTGAATAGTGCGCCGTTCAACCCAAGCTAGCATTACATCCCTCCGCAGCCTGTCATTTGGTGAAAGACTGAATGGAAAGGATAAAAACAAATGTATATCGGCTAACCCCCGCGATTCATTCTACAGGTCCGATCGCATTCGGGTTACCCTACGCTCTGGCAGAAGTAGCATGC